CGATTCAAATGCACCCTTCTCTAAGGATCCTTCATCATACCCTCTCCCTGGCTATAAATGGCCCGTCCCTCTTCTCCATCCCCATGGCTCTTTGTAATTATGTTATGCTACCTGCCCTATTCTGCTCTATCGAATAGTAACTGTGGGTGTCTTTCACCTCTAATGATACCTAGCATTTACTGAGCCCTTCGCTATGTGCCATGTTGTGCTGAGCACCTGAAATGCCTCCCCTCCTTCACTTCCCTCAACCTGATGAGGTATGTATCTTCTGCTTACTATGGATGAGAAAACAGACGCTCTAAGAAATTAATTAAAGTACATGCATTTGGGGGGGGTCCCCCGCTTATTTCTCGATACAACTTTCCTTCTCTCCCCGTTGGATATTCCGAAAGGCAGTGAGCTCTAGGCTCACTGTGACTTTCAGAAGCTGGTTCTTAACTACGATTTTATGTTTTGTGCATTATACATAGCAGGCACTCAGTCAAACTTCACCAAATGAAACAAGTCACTCCTTAAACTGGATCCAAACCATCTCCAGGTTGCATCCTGAAAAATATTTGTCTATTACAGTGTTGAAGAGAGAGCAAACATGAAAGCGAAAGAGAAAAGGGGTCTGTTTTTCAGTGCATTCCCTTGTAAGAAAAGGTCTTAAAAACAAATTCACATATATTAATGAGAAATCTGTGAGGCCCGCTGCTGACGTTAGTAAACTCAGTCCTCTGCAATCACGTGGCTACCGCTCCTGCAAGAATTAGATAGGCTTTGCCAGGTTGATTTCTGACAAACTCATGTTGTTAATGATAATTTGGAGGATGCCAGGCCTTTTTACTTTCTTCCTTTCCTTTTTTTTAAACTTTACATACATCTGCTCAAAATATCTAGATTTGGTGGCCAATTATAGAAGTCTTTTCACAGAAATCTGGTGAAATAATGTCATTTTTAGCCTTCGACTCTCAGCTATGGCCTCAAATGATTAGACATGCAATTCTGAACTTGATTTATGGAAGATGGAGGCCAATTCTCTGGCCCCGGGCCTGAATGCTGGGATGGCAGAAACCCATACTGGAAAATTTTAGTTTTCCAAGTAGATGAGGGTGATTAATGGAGAGGTTCTTCTCAAATCCGGCTCCCAAGAGTAAGCTGCTGTGCTCCCTGAAGCTGAAAATGGAATATGGGGCCTGATTATTCCTAGCACCAAATGATTACAGACACAGATTTGATTTTCACCATCATAATAGGTAAAGCAAAACAATAAAAAACATCCGGACTTAATGAAAAGAAAATACAAACTCTATACACTGAAAGCAGAGGCGAGTTTGTCTAATTTAGGCCAGTAATTCATGGACAAATCCATTGAGAGCAATTTAAGTAAAAGAAAATTAATTTAAGTGGTTTTCATTTTTTGGTCTAGAGAGAAATCAATATTTTGCTCACTCACTTTAGAAATTAAGAACAGAGAGCAAAAATCTACTAAAAACACAAAACCAAAATTAGTAAATTAAATACAAGCTAAAATCACAGTAAATAAGTAGATTTCAGGTACTATATTATATCTTAAAAGCTCTTTAGACGTGCATCTTGATTTTATATTGCGACCATTTGGGTTGAGTGTGTGTGTGAAAATGGGCAGTGCAAGGTGAAGCCAACACGAATGAAAAAGACAGTACCCAAAAGATAAGGAATCAGATCAAGTTATTATGGGAAGAAATGAAGACACACCAAGACAGAGAAAGAGATAGGGAAATAGGGAAATAGGACAGAAAGAGCAATACAGACAGGTATATACACATGAAAAGACAGGACAGAGGTTTTAAAAGGAGAGCTAGAAAGACAAACATTTTCTTGTTTGTTTCACAAATATTTACTGAGGCAAAAACAGATCCAGAAAGATGGGAGAGGCAGACAGGAGAAGCTCTGTAGATCTTTGACCTTGGCCAAGTAAACTCTTGCTGTAGACTGAAATCGTACAAAATTGTTTCCTTTGTTTTTTGGAGGGAGGGGGCTACTAAGTAAAAAAGCCCTGTGCTAGATACCAAAGGAGACAAAGGGAGGAATAAAATAGACTCCCTACCCTCTAACGACTTATTTAAAAGTTGAATTGGGCATATGAGTGAACTATCTACTGGTTTCAACATTCTTTAAAATGATGAACTAGCTGGGAATTTAAAACAGACCCTTCCACAGTGGCAGGCAGGATTTCTGCTTGACTTTTCAATTTAGATTATAAAGGTTTTACAGAGTTATGGAGAAATACAGAACTTTCCTTTTGCACCTTCAGAGATCAGAGGCATAAATAACTAGGAGGGGAAATCTCTTTGGTATGCCAAGTTGCCTGGCGGCCTAATCTTTGTTCTTGGAGAAATCAGTCTTGCTTCATTACCTGGGTATCTGGGAGATATTTGAAACCATTTTTACTTTTTTCTTTTTTAAATTCAATGCTATTTTTGGCTCAGTTGGGTCTTAGTGGGAAAGAACAATCAAAACAAAATTATAACATCTCCTACTTCCCACTCCCCAAGAAACAACTCCTGAAACAAACCTACTTTTTTGAAAAAATAAACAAATAGCTCCCATTTAGACCTACAACTAGAGTGGTGCTGCCCTTTAGAAATATAAGGTGAACTCTATGTTAAATTTGGGGGGAGCTATATTCTAAAAAGTTTAAAAGATAAAATTAATTTTAATAATATATTGTATTTAACACAATGCATGTAAAATACCACTTCAACATGTAACCAGTATATAATTTATTAATGAGCTATTTTGCATCATTTTTTCCTCCTAAGTTTTTGAAATTGTGCATATTTTAGACTTGTAGCATATCTCAATTTGGACTAGCCCCACTGCAAGTGCTCAATGGTCACACGGTTACCATATTGGACAGCTACGATCTGAAATGCTGCTTCTCTGTGGATTGTGTATCCCTTCCTATTATTAGCTCCACCAAAAACCCAACCAGAATACAATAAAATATAAAAGGCAACTTTTGCTTTCCAAGCTCCCTGAATACTGTGTTGTTTTAACTGGCCTTGGGGTGTTCCCCTTTTGGGCATTAAGAAAGCGAGCTGAGGTGTATGTATGTGTATACGGACTGGAGAAGGTATGGCTTCCTTACTTAAGTAAAACAACCAGTCCACCAGAAGTTAAGAAGGAAAATTCCAGGTGGGAAATAATGGCTACAGAAGCCAGCCCTGCCCTGCACTCAGGTGAGGGAGACTTGTCTCAATGTGTTCCTTGTACCCTAATGTATCCCTCTGTCAAGTGTTTACCACTATAGACTCTAAGTTCTTTGAGGGCCCACATCATTACCTATCTCTGTCTCTCCAGCCTTTAGAAAAGTACTTGGCACACAGCTGGCACTCAATAAATGTGTGATAAACAAATAAATTAATTTAAATACATACAGTTTCTCACATTTGCTTGCATCAGACACATTTCAAGTGCTCCATAACCACACGTGCCACTGGATATTGTATAGGACAGCACAAATACAGAACATCTCCATCATCACAGAAAGTTCTGTTTAGATAGCACCAGTCTAGAGCAATCGGCAGAAATACTATTTGACTGGTTAGGTGACAGGGGTCCCTAGGGACTAAAAACTCTTTTTTTTCCCTCATGAGCAAGTAAGAATACCACTGATATCAAATGACAAAGAAAGAAGCAAAAGTACAAATATTTTAACCCCTAGAAAGTTCAAATGCAACAGCTTTATGGTTTCCACAGGAAGAAGAAACTTGGCCATCTATTTCTCCCTTAGTTTCTCCCTCCCTCTTCTGGTTTTCTTACCATAAGAAAGAAACCAGGCACATTCCCCACAAGTGCCCCAAGACCCTTACCCCTGGCCAAAATATCTAATGAATGCTTTCCCTTATTTTGTGAGATAAGTCGGCAATTTCAAAAGAAACTTCAGGGCCAAAGCTAGCGGGAAAAAATAAATAAAATATAAAAATCATGAAAAATTGTCAAGCTTATGTACAACATACAATTTTCTGAACCTAAGAATCCAAGGAAAAACAGTGAAGTACCCAAAGAAGAAATTGTCCATTCCCTTATCTGAAAATAGACTCCATTGGCTGAAGGGCTAGCATAATTCCGTAGGAACATTAGCTGTATCTCTTCCTCTCAGCCAGGAGATCTCTGGGCTACCATCTTGGTTCCTGGCATACAGTAGTTGATGCATCTAAGTATTTGCCTCCTTCCCCATTTAAGGACGCCTCTTAAGAACACTTCATTTGATTTTAAACAAAATGTTTCCCTGTTTCAAACATGGTAGCCCACTCTCAGTTTCACACTGAGATCTGAGAAACATGCCTAATTACAGTTGACTTAGAGAACGGATGACTTCCACCTTTAGCTCTAGTGAATGATCCGGCCCTGTGGTTCCCTTGTCTTGCTGAGGATCAGGATTTTCGGAGGAATTTTCCCAAAGTTCAGATTCCTGGGCCCTACTCCAGACTTCCGAATCAGATCTCTGGCAGCCGGGCCTGGGGATCTTTATTCTTAGCAAGCACGCTAAGTGAAAATGATGTACTCCTTCTCACTTAGGGGTTATTGATCTGTTTCCTCCTTACTTGAAGAGTCAACTCTGCCCCCCTCTGGACTATGAGGTAAGGACTTCCCCTGCCCCCACTCTGTCACTGTATAGTTTGACAATGAAACAGGATCTGAAGCCTAACATCCGTACGGATGTAGTAAGGACAGGGATAAAGGGGGTTTTCATACAAGTTAGAGGTTTCTATAACCCTACGGCTTTTCCAGAGAAATCAGTTTGAATCTTCTAACTATGTGGGATTCAAATATCCTTAAACAATTCGCCCTTGGCCCGACATTAGTGCAGATTCCAGCAGGATGTGTTGCTAGATTAATTAACAGTCAGTCTGTCAGCTAGAAAGCCCAATATTGAGAATGCAAAACATGACTATAACCCAGGCTGTTATTGAATCTGAATGTATATCTCTGGTGCTTATCTTTTGATATTTTAAGTAACAATCACTTACCCTTGGCCTATTTTTTCAAATCTTGTGTATTTTTTCTTTGGGTCACCGACACTCACAATGCTTCCTGAGTTTGGGGGCGGGGGGAGAGGAAGAGAGAGAGAGAGAGATTTAAATTAATTGATTGATTTCCCTTTATTTAATACTAAAACTTACAATGCCAGAGTCAGTGACAAATAAAACATTAGAGCAATATTCCCAGGGAATTTCTATAATTTATATGGCTAAAATACATTTTATTAAAGTAACAAACAGTACTATATCAATTAAAATAGTAGTAATAACCCATGCTTTTATATTCAAAATTGATGATGTTTGGGAAACAAAAAGGATTGGACACAACTCAACATTTATAAAAAGTTCCCATAAAAGGACACTGTAGATCAGGAGATAAAAACATCTAAGAACTTGTATGAACTATTTAATAAAATCACTATCTTCTCTGAATTGGAGTGAAATTGAGCCCTACACTACATTCAGTTCTGCTGGACAAATATCTCTTGAGCCATGACTATGTACCCAGTACTGTGCTAAGGGTGATGGGGTCTAATAAAGAACAAAGTTGACTCATAAAGCAATGAGACTCATGCTTTCTGAAAACTACATCCCCAAACCCAGGACCCTACCTGCACTCCACGCATTTTGTAACTTCATTGTAATAGGATTTCCATACCATAAAGTTCACTCATTTAGAGGGTACAATTTATCAGTGCTCCCAAATATATGAAGCAAACACTGACAAGACTGAAGAGAGCTATCGACAGCAGCACAAATGATCGGGGACTTTAATTAATAGACTAAACAACCAGAGAGAAGATCAACAAGGAAATGGAGAATGTGAACAACACTATGGATCCACTGGAGCTAACACATTTATGGAACACGTCACCCAACGTCTGAAGAATACACATTTTTCTCAAGTGCACATGGAACGTTCTCCAGGATAGACCACATGTTAGACAGCAAGACAGGCATTCGCAAATTTTACAAGATTGAAACCATACAAACTGCCTTTTCTAATCGTAATGGATACAAACTAGAAATCAATAACAGAAAGATGACTGGAAAATCCCAAGATATTTAAATAAGATGTGTGAAAGAAGATACCTCAAGAGAAATGTAAAAAGAGTTTGAACTAAATGAAAATTAAATACAACCTATCAAATTACGTGGGATGCAGCAAAAGCAGTGCCAAGTACTTTTTTTTTTTTTTTTTTAAAGATTTTATTTATTTATTTGACAGAGAGACACAGTGAGAGAGGGAACACAAGCAGGGGGAGTGGGAGAGAGAGAAGCAGGCTTCCCGCCGAGCAGGAAGCCCGATGCGGGGCTCGATCCCAGGACCCTGGGATCATGACCTGAGCCGAAGGCAGACGCTTAACGACTGAGCCACCCAGGTGCCCCAAGTACTTTTTAAAGAAAGAAAAAAAATTAGTGTACAATTCAATGACTTTTCGTAAATTTTTTGAGTTGTGCAAGTTTATTAAATTTCACCATGATCTCATTTTAGGATGTTTTGGTCACCCCAGAAAGAAACCCTGTACCTGTTTGCAGTCACTCTTCATCCACCCCTCCCCCTGACTTCCCTACCCACCCTCAGGCAACCGCCAATCTACTTTGTGTTTCTATAGACTGTTCCAAACATTGTAGAGTAAGGTTATAAACCACGCAAGAAAAACATTAGTTTATCATATTTGGCTCTGGGAAACAAATACTGGTTTTGTTATTTCAAAAGAGCAAATCCAGTACTCAGAGGATGAATACACCACTCAGAACAAACCGAAAAGAAGTGCCATTGACTCTTCAACACAGTGCTCAAATAGGTGCAGAAAAATTCTGGGGCCTAGCAGCATCATGGGAATACAGGTTTGGATTCTCAAGTGGACCACCTCAAAGGGAATCATTTATTTGGATGCCTCTGGCTCTCCTTTCTTTTTTTTTAAGCAAACATATCAGTATCATTACCTTTGAGTCATATTTTACTATCATGGCCCCTGTTTCAAAGAAGTGTAGTGTCAGTAGGATAAGATTTACAGCATGAACTAATCAAGAGAAGGTCTGTAGATTCTACCTCCTAATGGTCACTGTTATTCATTCCCTCCTTTTCATGCCCATGGTCAGTGCCATTGTTCAGGCCCTTAACATCTCTTGTCCAAACAACTGCACTCATCATTACCTACCCTCAACACTCTATCTTCTCTATCTTCCTCAATGCTTTTGGAATAGCGTAACCATGTAATTCACAAACCAAGACTGTCCTGGGTACATATTCAAGTTAAAATTTCTTAGTCTGGCATAGAGGGCTGTTTACCATCTAGCACCAACCAACTCCTACCTAACCAGACTAATCTCATATAATTCCTCTATTCTCCATCCCTCCTACTTTAAATCCTAGTAATGCTATCATTATCCAAGGCTTATGTCTTTGCAGATGCTCTCCCTTTCCCTTTCTTACCTAACCCATGAATTCCTATTTATTACTTAAACATTATCTCAAGTCATCCTACTTTATGAATTCTTCTCTGATTCCTCTAATGAGATTCTCATGTTTCTTCTTGAGGGCAGGAACCTTGTCTTTTCATCCCTGTAACTTCAGTGCTTGGAACAATGGCCATCACTGAATGGATATTTGTTGACCAAATGACTGAGGACAAGAAAGTATGTATTCAAGTGCTAAACTGCGTGCTACAAACAATACCTGGTGTTAATTCACACCAACCAGTAGATGGTATACCTTGAAAAAAAAAAAAAATGTTCCAGTCCTGGACTGTTCATCAAGTTGTTAGATTTATTGTTGTTGGTGGGGGTGGTGGTTTGTTTTTTACAACTGAAGTCCATGTTTCAGTGAAATTAAATAAGACATATACAGTATGTGAGTTGTTAAAATTCTTTTTCTTTTCCATTTCCAATCTTAGTCCATGGAACTACCATCTGTCTACTCTTTGGCCCAAATCAGAAATCTGGGAGTTAGCTCTGACTCATCCCTCACCTTCACTACCCCCATGCAGCTGTCCACCAAGTCCTGAGCCTGTATCTGCTTATCTCCTAGAGACCTTGTCAATCTGTCCCTTCCCCTTGTTCCTACTATTCTAGTTGGGCCCTCATTGTTTTTTGTCTGGGCTGTTCCAACAGCCTCCTCACTGTACTCCCAACGTCCAGCCTTTCACACTCCAGTCCACGATCTACACCTGCCTCCGGCAGGATGCTCTAAGTGCAAACCTGATCAAGTGATTCCCTGGTTCAGGAGTCCTCCAAGCTCCCCTCCTTCCCCCTGACACCTACAGGGTAAGCTCAAACTCCTTGGCATGGAGTGCAAGGCTCTTCATATCTGACTCTTGCTTCATTCTCCATCTCCTCTCCACCACTTCCCCACTCGACCCTCACTGCATTGACCATAACAAATTGCAGCTCATGATCAGCTCTTGCTTGACCGTTGAGCTTCCTCTCTTAAGACTCTGATCCCTCCACCTACCACCAATTTTATATTCAAGTGATATTGAATAAGTTAGCATTCCCGGGTGTATACCTTCTATACTTGCTATTCTCCTGCCTGGAACATCCTTCTTAAATTTTCAAGTTCCTATTAATGCTTCAATTCAGCTTCAATGGTGCCTCTCCTAGAAAGCCTTCCCTGATTTTTTTGAATAAAGTTAATAATTCCCCTTCTCTATTCTACTGTACATTCTCTCTCTCTTTCTGTCTCTCTTACCTTTGCACTTACTCTGCTTCTCTATACTTAATACACCATGTATCCATCTCTATATATTTGACATCCCCTTACAGACTATGTCTTAAAGACAAGAGTCAGGTCTCATTCATTTCTGTATCCTCAGCACCTCCTCAAACAATGTTGTGTGAGAAATACATTAGTTACTCAATAACTGTCTGTTGAATTGAACTCAAATAAAATTAGGCATTTCCTTTTGTAAATGCCCCATATTTTAAGACAGGGGCTGGAGAACATATTTTACTTGAGTTACATCTATAGAATGCCACCAATTTAACAATTTCTGAATTGCCACTTCACCTTTCAAATTGTATTATAGATTTCTACATCACTGAGAACTATCCCTATTCAAGTCAGCTATTAATGGATAAGGGCCTGGACCTTTTTCTTTCTTTCTTTTTTTTTTTTTTTGGTAATGAAATGACAATTTAAGGTTACTTGAAACCATCATTTTATTAAGGAGTTTATAGTCTTCTAAGAAAGTTATACTATTAAGTTGCTGAGCAAACTCTTTTCCATAGACTGAGCAAAAGCAAATAAGCTTCAGCGCAAGCCACTTTCTGAATTATGATCAATTTCAATTGGCAGGGCTCAGTTAATGAGGTTTTATGGTAGTAAATTACTCAACCTTTATTTCCTTGGAACGCAGAGTTAAGAAAAAAAACAACAAACCTGGAAATAAATCCTTTCATGAGGATTACCAAAAGACAGCCATTTTGAGGAGCTCCTGCCTCTGGATTGAACTGCGGTTCAAATAAAATGGCGTCTCCACACCCACTACCCTTCACAGGAGAGTGTATGCTGCCATCTACTGATGTGAGGCAAGTGCACAGGAGGTCTTGTTTACGATTCCCAACCACAAAACAAGCTTTTCAAGGGACCTCTTTCATCAGAGCCATTGTAATCTGCTTTTATAAATTACACTAAGGAAAGGGGAAAAAAAACCCCACTGTGACACAATAGGGGAAAAACAGTGCCAAAGATCAGCAACTCAAAATCAAAAGGACAAAAAAAAATAGCAACACCAAAACAATTTTCCTACCGGGGTAATTTCTTAAATAAGAAGCCAACTATTCATTTGAAAGTATAAGGATTTAAGAAATGACTAAATAGTAGTATTTGAAAATAGGGTTCATGATGTGGTTTCAGTAAAGCCTATCAGGGTATTTTCCTACGTATTAAGCTAAGTTGAACTCCGACCATTAAAAAGATTATTCCTTTAGATACTGAGGAGGTTTTGATTCCTGAGGGAAAAAAAAGCAACAATAATTCTCTAAATTAATATTAGTCCTATCCGAGGGGGAAATTAGAAGAGTTTTGAGTGAGGAATGCTGCAGAAGGGGAGAGACAAGAAGAGATGGCGGGGCCCAAGACAAATTTCCTGCCTTATTTTGCTGACAGCGCCTTTTGGAAATTTTCTCTAAAATGTAGGGGTTTCTTTATTTTCCAACAGATTCAAACAGACCACAATGAACAAGCCAGACCCAGGCTATCTGTCTGTGTAAAACTGAAAGATGATCTGTTCATTTCAGCTATTAATGATCCCATGGTCTGGCCCCCACATTCAGCATCTGCGTGGAAGAGGGATAGCCTGGCAGCTCTGTAGTCTGGGCTGCCCACCTCACAGTAATTGGATCCCTGAGCCCAAAGAGGGCTGCCCTGCCCCCCTTCCCCATGCTTATGGTGGGATCCACCCTGGTATGGGCTGTAGGCTCTTCCTCAACCTCTCTGGCTCCCAGCCTCCTCTCCTTTGCCTCTCAGCACAGGCTCCTTTACTCCTTCCCTAAGCTCCAATGGGGACCTTGATTCTCTCAATGACTTCTGTATAAGGACCATACATCTTGGCTCATTTCTGGTTTCAAACATTCCGTCCCAATGGAAGACCCCCACTTTTTTATGTTGCAAAATACGGTGGCTCTCATTTGGCAAAAAGAACACGATAAATTTATACTACTATTTATTGCCCTAGGTGTCTTACCTACTTCACCTTGTTTAGTCCTTGCCAAATCCCTATCACATTGGTACTATTATTACCTCCATTTTTCAAATGAAGAAACTGAAATTCAGAGAAGTTGAGTGACTGGCCTAAGGACACACAGCTAGTCTGGGCCTATGACTCAGACTCCTTTATGATTCATTCCAAAGCCTGGTCTAGTGTATGATCTTACTAAGGCTTTATACTCATGTAATAAAATGGTAATTACAATTTATTGAGCACCTACTGTGTACCAGGGACTGTGGCTGAGGTTTTTATATGCCCTATTCTCATTTAATTATTATTATGACATGAGGTTGGTACTATTAATATCTCCATATTTTTCTTTTTAGATGAGGAAAAAGAAGTCAAGCAAAGTTAAATAACTTGCCCAAAGTAACACAAGCAAGGGGCTTGTCATTTGAATGTAGGCCTTTCTGACTCCAGTACTTGTCCTCCTAGTCATAGGCTGAGTTACATAAAATCCATCCTATAGACAGAGTCCTGAAATGCAGTTATGATTCTTCTCCCTGATGCTCAGAGGGCTGAAATAAATCATCTGAAGTTATACAGCCAGGCCGTGGCAGAGGGAGAGGGCACACAGGGAGTGCATGCCCAGAGGTGAAGCAGGAAAGACCCATTTTGCAGACTCTGCAGTATAGCTCAGTCTGGACCCGCTTCATGAAAAGCATTCCCCCATTTTTCTATAGGTTCTCCCTGCCAAGATCTGGACGTGCGAGGTCAGGCTGGCAGTTACAGGTGGCCCACTGGTCAAAGAGAAGAGTCTCCTGAGGCCCGATCAGTCTCCAATAGAGATGAAAACACCCACTTCTTCATTAAAAAATGTAATCAAAGGCAGTTTTCTCCTCTTCATCATGTTGCTAGGGCAGGGAAGAATACACAAGCAACGAGAGCGACCACAGCCCCAGCAACATTGCAGTCCGCAAGCAAAGCCAGATTTGGGCCCAAGAGAAGAATGCTTGTCTCTCTGTTGGTCCATATAAGAAAACCAAAAATGCATCTGCACTCTAATAAATCAATTGAGATTTGAAACAAAGACCCATCACAGTTATTTTTTTACGAAAGCGATGCTGTCAGATTTTAAAAATCTAACAAAATCTCATAGGTCATGTCTACATGTATAAAACAAAGAAAAAATTGAGGTAACTGTCTGAATAACTGAACTGGAATTATCCAGGCAATTCTTTCTTTTTCCTACCCTTTTCCATATATAGACTGTTGGGATACGCAGCAAAGTGGGTTAATAGAACTAGTGTCACCTTTTTTTTTTTTTTAAGATTTTATTTATTTATTTGAGAGAGAGAGAATGAGAGACAGAGAGCACGAGAGGGAAGAGGGCAGAGGGAGAAGCAGACCCCCCCACTGAGCAGGGAGCCCGATGCGGGACTCGATCCCGGGACTCCAGGATCATGACCTGAGCCGAAGGCAGTCGTTTAACGAGCTGAGTCACCCAGGGGCCCCATCACCTTTTTTTTTTTTTTTTAAAGATTTTATTTATTTATTTGACAGAGAGAGAGAGTACAAGAGGGGGTAGGGTCAGAGGGAGAAGCAGACTCCCCGCTGAGCAGGGAGCCCGATGTGGGACTCGATCCCAGGACTCCAGGATCATGACCTGAGCCGAAGGCAGTCGCTTAACCAGCTGAGCCACCCAGGGGCCCCGAACTAGTGTCACCTTTGAAGGCAAACAGAGTTGAGTTCAAACTCGGGCTCGGCCACTGCCTAGTTTGGCGACCTGGTCGCTTTAGCTTTTTGAGGCTCACTTTCAGCCATCTGTAAAATGAGGATATTGAAATCCACCCCAAGGTATTATAATGAAAATTAAACCTTATGACGTATGTAAAGTGGCCAGCCCAGAGAGCGCTCAATAGATGTGAATTATTACTACTGTTATTATAGCAAATAGTAGGTATTAGCACCAGAGGAATATTTAATCACGTATAGTAAAGTCAGTTGGCTGAAGTCCCAGTGGTTCCAGTTCCAAACGCTCACTGCCAACCTTTGCATTTCCAAGTACCTCTAGCTCACAATGTCTCAACCTCAATACTGCCGACATTCGGGGCTGAATAATTCTTTGTCACAGGGGGAAAGTAGGGGGGGTTGACCTTAGCATTGTAGAGATTCTAGAAACATCCCTAACCACTGGCCACTAGAGGCCAGTAGCGCTCCCTGTGCTGTGACTATAAACATGTCTCCACACATTGCCAAGTATTTCCTGGAGGGGAAGATGGCCCCACAACCATCTATGCAGTCTCCCTGTGGCCTCTAGCTGGAACTGTTCTCTTCTTTTCCTGAGGTCTTCGAGATGGAAATTTGCATGAAACCACACGGCTTCCTAGTCTCTAATTATATCACGTTACTGAATCTTATCATCTAAATAAAATTGTAAAAGGTTCCTGATGGCAGGAAATTGTTTTTCTATGGTTTCCTCCAAAGATTCTTACACAGAACAGACAAGGTACATTTTTTTTCTGCTCTTTTTTTTTCATTCATTCACTCAAAAAGCATCAGTTGAGTGCCTTTATGAACCAAGCACTTTATTAGGAGCTGGACATATAGGAAAAGGAGACACAGTCCCTTCCCTTGAGGAGCTCACAAGTCTAGGTGAAAGAGGTGGGACTAGTATGGTGTGATTTGCTGCCATAAAGGCAGTAAAGAAGAGGAGCCCTTAACTCACACTGGGAGAGGCAAAGAAGGCTGTCCTGAGGAGGCAACTTTTGAGTTGGGTTTTGAAGGATGAATAGGAGTTAGTGAGATTGGGGGCTCTGATTGAAGATAACTAGAAATGTGTTAGATGTTTCTGTAGTATGAGTTTAATGACTATGCTTTACAGACCTTTGGCTCTTTTGAACAGACGATGTCCTTTTCTTAAATCTCCTTGACCCAGAAAGCTAACTGAAAGAGAATTGTTCTGTGAAACTGGAGTGAGTGTGTATGCACAAGCGTGTACACAATAATGACACCAGAGGAGGGAGTTTGCTAGCATTTGCTGGCCCTGCTCCCCTTCTCCACATAGAAATGCTCCTAAATTAAGAGAAAAGACTATATTACTGTGGCTGTTGGTTTTGATTGACTGCTTTGGGCTTTGAGGTTGACTTATCTATCATGATTGATCAGTTGGGAGACCTTGGGGGATAATCAAAAGATATGTCATCAGATTATTTTATTCCTTTCGGGAGCATCGTCTTAAAATGAAACTCGATGTTTAATTCATCGTGTCAAGTTTTCACCTTAATTGATTTTGTCAAGCCAAAATATTTAGTTTCTGTCAAATTTGGAGTGTGGGGGAAGGAGTGATCTGGAATACAGAGCAAGTTCCAACCTTTACATCTTTTGACTTCAGGGAGCCTGGAGTTTATGCAAGGAGGCCAAAACTTTGAAAGAATCAGTTCCCAGGGGCGCCTGGGTGGCTCAGTCATTAAGCGTCTGCCTTCGGCTCAGGTCACGATCCCAGGGTCCTGGGATCAAGCCCCTCATTGGGTTCCCTGCTCAGCGGGAAGCCTGCTTCGCCCTCTCCCACTCCCCCTGCTTGTGTTCCCTCTCTCGCTGTCTCTCTCTGTGAAATAAATAAATAAAGTCTTTAAAAAAAAAAGAATCAGCTCCCATTTTACATGTTTTACGAGAGACCATCCCATGAAGTAATGATGGCTAAAAACAAACAAAACAAACCCCCCCAAAACTCACTTAGCTTCTCTAGGATCTCCTCGTCCGTCATCTTGGATTTTTTCCTTTGCCGATCTGTGTTTCTATACAAAGTACTGGAGTTGGCGTTCTCAGCAGAAGGTGGTGTGACCTCTTTATTTGGTACTGCCGGTGAAGCAATGGATTCCAGCACAGAACGGGTGTAGATCTTAAAGATAAGAAAACAAGTTCTACGATAAAAACAGTAGGCCAAGTGAAGGGTATGAAGTCAAGATGCTGTCATGTCAATGAGGTTTTATTTTTTTTTCATTAAGACAAAATTTTAGAGCAGTTTTTGGTTCACAGTCAAGTTGAGAGGAAGGTACAGATTTCCCATCTACCCCCGTGCCCACACATCATAGCCTCCCCCATCGTCAACACTCCCCCGCCCAGAGTGGGACATTCATTACAACTGATGAACCTACATTGATGCATCATAATCACCCAAAGTCCATAGTTTACATACTGTTCTCTCTTAGGGTATACATTCTATAGGTTTGGACAAATGTATAATGACATGTATCTGCCATGATGGCAATGGAGTTTTGTCACTACCCTAAAAATCCTCTGTGCTCTGCCTATCCATCGCTTCTCCACATCCCAACCCCTACCCCCGATAAGTTTTTAAAGTCAAGTGATTAATTAAATATTAAACAAGAACTTTAAGTTGCTTCAAATATACTGTCCTTGAAAGCTCTCAGGACTCTGTCTTCTGAGGTCCCCATACATGCTGTGCTAATTCTGGTCTTGGTGTCTCTGCTTAGGCACTTCTTCCTACTTGATTCACATGGATTTCCTTCTCTAATTTAACTTCTGCAGCGATCTTATAACTTAGCACTTATTTGTATGTCGTTTGATATCATTCTCTAATTGTCATGTACTATCTCGTATCCTCAAAGAGCAACCTCAACCAAGGTTGTACCTGATATTCTAGATCAGGGAACACAGTAAATACTCAATAGGTAGGGGCTGATTAACTAGATTCTGACTCTACAATGGTTCCAGAGGACATCTTTTGAATCATTTAGGAATAGTCATTTGCAACTTACTGATTTAGTATGCTCGGGTCTTGGCGCAATAACTGGGGGGGGCTCATTGTCATCTTCTTCTTCTTCCTCTTCTTCCTCTTCTTCTTCAGACACAGGTGGAGCCAAAGGAGGCTCTGATGCTGTTTTTGTACTCTTATGACAAAAACAAAGTTTAGAGACCAGGTATTAACTCCCTGTTGTTTTTCTTCAGAAATGAGAAAAGGGAAATGAAATATTTAATCACATAGGGACATGAAAAAAACCACACCTTTTACAAATGAGCAGAGCCATCTACAATTTGGTGACCAGGACTGCCCACATTCAGAGGTAAATTCAGGCCATGGTTTTAAACATCATGAAATTTTTTTTAAAATCTTTTTATTTTCCACTGAGCTCAGAAGCAGTGAGCTATTCAATATTTGAAAGTTCAATGTTTTTTAAATCAATGAATAATATATTTTTAAAATGCTACTAGAGCCTTCAATTTGTACTGGGCAGATTGTCAATTTGCTGATTGATAGTCTGTCAACCAGAAAAGGGCTATTTTGTGCCTAAAGATCAGAGCATGCATATGGATATGGTAATAATACAGCTCTGCAAATACTCACTAAGTACAAGCAAGCCCATAAATGTTGCTTCCCTGTTCAGCCTCCTGGAAAGAAGCACTCAGAAAGTAACAGACATGAAGATCTAAGGAATATTCATCAACATAAATAATTATTCAGTCTTAACCAACAGGTATAAATGGTGATTTGCAATATTAAAAACTGCAATAACACCACCACCACCAAAAATAACAACAATTGTTGTATCTAGGATCGGTTCTTGATCATTCATATTAATTCAGGGGTAAAAATGGTTCCCCCAAAGCTGAATTTTGAAAGCCCTTTGGCCATGGTTCTCAAAGTTTGGTCCCCAGACCAGCATCATCACCAGGAATTTGTTAGAAATGCAAATTCTTGGGCTCTATCCACACTAATGAATCATAACTCTGGGAGTGGGCCTAATAGTGTGTTAATGACAAGCCTTTCAGGTGATTCTGGTTCAGGCTCAAGTTTAAAAATCACTGAATGATGATAGAGGTCTATGCTGTCCATGGTTAATGAATAGTTACAATGTGGCTAGTCTGAATTGAGGTGGGTTGTAAGTGTAAAATATGTATCGCATGTTGAATATGTAACATGAAAAAAATTGTAAAATAGTTCCTTGGTGAAAGACATTTCCTTTTATGTTGTGTATATGTTAAAATGATAATATTTTGAATACATTGGGTTAAGTAAAATATCATTAAAATTAATTTCACCTATTTCTTTTTACTTTTTCTCAATGTGGCTACTAGAAAATTTAAAGTTACATATATGGCTTTTATGACATTCATTTCTATTGGAAAGCACGATTATAGATGATTTTTTATTTTGTGTGTGTGTGTGTGTGTGTGTGTATGTATTGTTTTTTTGTTGATGTCTTTGGGTATACAGGCTCAAGCTAATCCTAAAAAGAATTTTTACTTCTCGAGGACAAAGCTCCTGAGGTAGATACAGGGAGCTCTACTAATACATATTATATCAAAGGACCTCAATCTATGAATAAAATTCAACACAGATCTTCTACAATCATGTATAAACCAATGGTAGAGCTATAAGGTGCAATCATAGATCTGAGCGGAGACAGCAAGATTTATCTACTGTGCAAAGGAAGACAACTTAGAATTTATAAAAGAGTATTTGAAAGAACATTTGCTTGCCCTGATATACATACTGAGTGGTTTACAGACTAAAATTCATATACTTAGTTGATATTGGTTTTCTTATTTATACACCTATATTTATTCTTAATTTGGCCAAAATAGCTAAGCTATGATATTGTACTGTGGCTGTGTGGAAAGTGACATGTGTTAATGACATTAAGTTTTCAGGAAAAAAAAATTCAGTGGGCAAGCTTAGAAATTGTCTTTAGTTTATTGGTGTTTGCTTTGAGATTATTTTGTTTCAGAAAGTTCTGCTCTATCTTATGCCAGCTGGGATCAAGAATGCACCTAATCATTGTTCATTGGTAGGAGGGCAGAACCTGCATATAAACTGACCACTTTTTATATGGCAAACAAAGCTTGCTTCTCTATTAGGCAATATGAACCATGCTTCAGAATAGTAAGCTTTCCATGGGCTTATGAAAATATCTGAAGTCAGAAATAAGTCATTGTCTCCAAAATGCGACAAAAACCTCTAAAATCTAAAGTCATTAATGTCTAATTACATGTCTACAAAGTATAACTACACGTCAACTTCACTTAGTGACTTATATTTAGTAGCTATAGAAATTTCATTACATTAAAAACCAAATTGTGGATTAGATCGTCTTCTTTAGCAACAGCTCCTGAGTATCATACTGACTTCCAATAAATGATACCTAACCAAAAATTCAGTGTTACTTGTAATCAAATAATTTCAAAATCGATATTTTAAAAAATCACTTTAAAAAGTTTACAGCAAAAAAATTAAGTGGGGTAGAGGAGCCCTTTAATATATTTGGTACAACTCATCATGCAGCCTCCATAAATGAGAGTATATACAGCCTATGAGGATCTAAAAATTGCCCTGGTGGAAAATAAAATGGGCCTAGGTCTAGGCTCCCCAGACTGCTACAAAGACTAATCAGTACTACTAACCAAGCGGTAACCTTGCACATCTCAACAGTGGCTATTTCATTAAAGAACATCCGCCTGCAAAATCTGTTTCTTAACATTCATTACTATCCTCACTCTTCTCATTTCATATGGAGACCCTCCCCACCTTCGATGATAGACTAAAGGACTGTTAGAAAACCTAAAGTCTTCCATCTTCTGAAGGTTTGTGGGGCAGGAGGAAGACCAATGTTTCTGTTTATCTGGGACCAGACCCTATACTGTCATGTTGGCTGGTTGGTTGGAAAGAATGTGTGGCCTTCAGGGGACATTTTTTTTTTTAAGATTTTATTTATTTATTTGACAGAGAGAGAGAGAGCATGCACAAGCAGGGGGAGCGGCAGGCAGAGGGAGAGGGAGAAGCAGGCTCCCCACCAAGCAGAGAACCCAGTGTGGGGCTTGATCCCAGGACCCTGGGATCATGACCTGAGCCTAAGGCAGATGCTTAACCAACTGACCCACCCAGGTGCCCCAGGGGACATTATGTTTTGCAGGATGGTTGGGCCAGGGAACATTAGCTGACCTAGTAACACCAGGCGTTGGTCCTGAGAACTGAAATCAACATAATTTCCTGGCCCCATGTTAAGTAAGACCAGGACCAGGCATATTTTCCCATCCCTGTGTAATAATACTGGGGCTGGGCATACTTTCTTTTCCCTGTGTTAAACAGTATCAGGTGAGAGCATATTTTCCTGTTCTTATGTTAAACAATACTGAGAACAGGCAAAACTAGCAGCTTCTTACTTCAAGAAATGCTTGCTCTTGGAAGACTGAACCAACTGAAGTATTTTGCTTAGTAAGAATAACAGCTTGCTCACCAAGACTCTCTTGAAGACTCTCACTTCACCAACCAACCTAAAGCTATTTAATCACAAACACTGCACAATCCTAACCTGTTCCTTGCCTTGTAAGACTTGCTTTAAAATCGCATAGCCATGGGGGCCTGGGGGGCTCAGTTGGTTAAGTGTCGGACTCTGGATTTCGGCTCAGGTCATGATCTCAGGGGCCTGAGACTGAGCCCCTCATGGGGCTCCGCGCTCATGGCGAAGTCTGCTTCTCTCTCTCTCTCTCCCTCTGCCCGTCAGCTCCCCCCCCGCCACTCTCTCTCTCAAATAAATAAATAAATCTTTAAAAATAAAATCAAGGGCCGCCTGGGTGGCTCAGTCAGTTAAGTGTCTGCCTTCAGCTCAGGTCATGATCCCGGGGTCCTGGGATTGAGCCCCGTGTCAGGCTCCCTGCTCAGCAGGGAGTCTGCTTCTCCCTCTCTCTCTGCCCCTGCTCCTGCTCTCTCTCTCTCTCATGTGTGCACTCTCACTCTCTAATAAATAAGTAAAATCTTAAAATCAAATCAAATCAAATCACATAGCCGTGCTCTAAAACCCTATAAATGTTCTCCCCTAACATCCCCGTTCCAAGATACTGCTAAAACTCTATAAAGGGAGGGCTCTTCCTTGCTGCTAGAGTTTAATAAACAGCTTTGCTTATTAACAGATTTTTCTGGTGTTCTTTTTGGGAGTCACAGGTATAATGTCGCTACACTCTTCCTTCTAGGCTGAGAATGACTATGTCTGTTTAAACTTGAAAATAATATAGATAGGTACTCCGTTTCCTCTTCAGATGATAACCGGAGGGGAGGTGTGTGGGGGGTTGGGTGAAATAGGGGATAGGGATTCAGGAAGGCAACTGTCGTGATGAGTGTCTGGTGGCATATGGAAGTGTTGAATCACTACATTGTACATCTGAAACTCATATTAATTACACTGTATGTTAACTGGAATTAAACCAGCAAGTAAAGAATATTTTTGTCTTACTGAAAATTTGTGATACTCTTCTTGTGCCACACAATGGGGCAAGGGAGGTAATTCTTTACTTGAGCGGGGTCCTGGAGTCTTTTAGAACTCTCCAGAAGGATACAGGTAGGTATGTGCTTTTCCATATAATTTCAAGGGTTCAGAGATCTCATAAAGCCCATCCGTATGGACTCTAAGTTATAAACTCTGCTCTAGAGCATACACTAGCTAGAGGAACTACCTTAGGAAACTCTTCTTTCTTTGAGCTTCCTTGTTAAAGGCCAAAGGAATTAGAAGTAAGGACCTTGGAGGCTCCAGATCATGCGAAGTGTGGTCTATGGGCCACTTTTGGTGCTTGTTTAAGATGCAGATTTCAGGGTTCCATTCCATTTTGACTTGTGCCTTCTCCAGGCAGTTCTGATACACACTGAAGTAAAGGGACCACTAATCTAGATGAACAAAGCAAACCAGTACTTCGAATCGAAAGCTCAATCTGTGTCAACTGTATACCCAGGTTCTCTGGGCACAAATCATGATGTGTTCATAGTATTGTTGCTACCTTCCACTCAAAATACTAGTCCAGGACTCTAAATGCATTACTTTACTCTCAATGGTCCAATACAAATATAAAATTTTAGAGTAGCCTTAAATTTAAGAGTAGGTCCCTGAACAGTATTTAGTGTTTAATACACTCATATCAAAGAAGCTACCACAAGTGAGCAGTAAAGCAGATGTCATAGGACTATGGGAGGTATTGCTGAATTCAATATTAATGACGTAGTCACTCATTTAAAATATTTAGTGGCCACAACACTGCTTCTATGGTAATTCCCACCCAGGCTATTAGAGGATGCCAAAACTGGTGATCAGTTTAGGCTAGGTCTATAAGGGATTGTCCAATCCCATTAAATCAGATCTTACAGGATCGCTAGCTGGGTCTACTTGGGAGTGTTTCTAATGCAAGAAAGCATAAGCACCATCAAGGCAATCTCCCTCTGGAACCATAAGGAGAGCACGGGGTGCTCTCAATTCCCCATTCCTAAGTAGCTGAGTCCCACTGAAGGGATCCAATCTAAACTTAAGGGTTTAATCCAGTCCATTTGATCAATAGAAACCCAGCCTCAGTTAAGCAGTTTAATTAGTATCTCCACCTGGGAGTCCTGCCAGCCCTTCAAACTCCAAACTGTCCAGTAGGAAACTCAGCATCTGCTCATGGAAATTTGTAACTCCCGAAGGATGGCATCCTCACCCTTTTGGCTACCCTTGTATCATTTGAAGCCTGCAGTCACCTTTGACCTTGACCTTTCCTCCAACATCCAATCAATAACCTAAACATTTGAACCTCATCTCCATTCCTGCTGCCACCATCTCCCCTAGGCCCTCGTTACCTATGGCTTGGATGCTTGCGCAACTCCTCCAACTGGTCTCCCCTTCATCCAGCCTCACCCTCCGCCCTTAATTCACTCTGGACATTTGCTGTTAGGTAACTGTTCCCAAAGCATAAGCTTTCATTGCCTAATTCTCCTGTTCCAAAAAACTCCAAGGGCTTCCCAATGTATACCGGAAAAGGCCAGATTTCTTTCTTTCTTTCTTTTTTTTAATTTAAAGTTTACTTAGTTGACATACCGTGCAATATTGGTTTCCAGAGTAGAATTTAGTGATTCATCACTTACACACAACACCCAGTGCTCATCACGACAAATGCCCTCCTTAATACTCTTCACCCCTCTAGCCTATCCCCCGCCACCTCCCTCCATCAACCCTCAGTTTGTTTTCTACCGTTAAGAGTCTCTTATGGTTGGTTTCCCTTTCTCCCTTTCCCTGCCCCCTTCCCATATGTTCATCTGTTTTGTTTCTTAAATTCCACATATGAGTGAGATAATATGATATTTGTCTTTCTCTGACTTATTTCACTTAGCATAACACACTCTAGCTCCATCCACATTGTTGCAAATAGACCAGATTTCTTGGAATACCATTTTTTTTTTAAAGATTTTATTTATTTATTTGACAGAGAGAGACACAGCGAGAGAGGGAACACAAGCAGGGGGAGTAGAAGAGGGAGAAGCAGGCTTCTTGCAGAGCAGGGAGCCCGATGCGGGGCTCGATCCCAGGACCCTGGGATCATGACCTGAGCTGAAGGCAGACGCTTAACAACTGAGCCACCCAGGCGCCCCGAAATACCATTTTTTTTAAAGATTTTATTTATTTATTCATGAGAGACAGAGAGAGAGAGAGAGAGAGGCAGAGGGAGAAGCAGGCTCCCAAGGAGCAGGGAGCCTGATGTGGGACTCGATCCCAGGACCCTGGGATCATGACCTGAGCCGAAGGCAGACGCTTAACCATCTGAGCCACCCAGGCGCCCCTCTTGGAATACCATTTAAGGGCCGCTATGATTTGGCTCCAACTTAATGTTCAAGGCTTAATTCCTATGATTCCTTTTCTTGCATCTGTCTTCATTCAAAACCACACCATTTTGTCCCCATGCTCTCCTCACTATTGTGCCCTTTCTTATGTTTTTCCTTTTGCTTAGAATGCCCTTTTCCATCTATTCCAGATCCAAATCCCCTCGGACGTTCATGATCTAGCTCAAATGCGACCTGTTTTATGAAGCATTTTCCAACTCAACATTCAACAAATATGTACCAAGTACCAACTTTGCACCAGGCACTGAGCTTTAAGCCCTCCGAGACAAGAGCCTGCTTCCTTTTTCCTACCCAGCTGAAAGTAATCTCTTTTCTCTGAGTTCTCATAGCAAATGGACATATTTTATGTTATGTAACATAGTCCATATTGTACTGTGTTTCTTGATGTGCATACTTCTCTTCCCTTACCAGAATGAGCTCCAGATTTCCTAGTGCTTGTAAGGAGGCACTCGATAAATATATGTGAAAAAAGTAAATATCCAGTTGTTTTATCTCCAAACAGTGAGAACATCATTTTTTTTCTGATTTGGTGGAATATTTTGATCATTATGTAGATTTAGTTTGAATTCCACAAGCAAAACCAGTAGAAGCACGTTCAAAAGAAAGGGACAGCATTTCAGGAGATATAAACTGTTGACAAAAATAAAAACCAATCTACCGACCATCCTAACAGGTTAGCGTTTAAAATAACTGACCTACCTACCTAAAAAAAAATACTATTTCTTTGCCAGAATACCCAGCTTGTATTTATTATATCATAATGATATTAAGTAAATCAAGGGAGGAAAGGTAAGTATTCATCATGGAAGGCTGGAATTTTTGCTTTAGCTTACATTTAATAAACATATAGCATGTGCTAGGTAGTATACTAAGTATATTACATGCATTATCACATTCATTACTCATACAATAAGACTAAATACCTATGTCCAGAGCCTTCATTCTTTTTTTATTTTTATATTTAATTGTGGTAAAATATACATGACATACAAGTTACCATCTTAGCCATTTTAAATGTACAGTTGAGTAGTGCTAAGTATATTCACACTGTTGTGCAAACAATCTCCAGAACTCTTTTCATCTTGCAAAAATAGAATTCAGTATACAGAGTATTCTGTATCTCCTATGAGTAGAATCATACAGCATTTGTCTTTTCATGACTGGATTATTTCACTTGGCATAATGTCCTCAAGGTTCATCCATGTGGTAGCATGTGTCAATGGTCAGAATGTCCTTCCTTTTTTTTTTTTTTTTTTTTAAAGTAGGCTCCATGCTCAGCGTGGAGCCCAACATGGGGCTTGACGTCACGACCCTGAGATCAAGACCTGAGCTGAGATCAAGACCTGAGCCAATATCAAGAGTCGGACGCCCAACAGACTAAGCAACCCAGGTGCCCCAGAATGTCCTTTCTTCTTAAGGCTGAATAATATTCCATGGCATGGATATACCACATTGATTTATCCATTTGTCTGTTGATGGGCACATGGGTTGCTCCCACCTTTTGTATATTGTGAATAATGCTGCTATGAACATGGGTGTATAAAAATCTGTTTGAAAACCTGCTGTCAATTCTTTTGGGTATCAATCCAGATGTGGGATTGCTGGATCACATGGTAATTCTATTTTTAATTTTTGAGGAACTGCCACACTATTTCATAGCCTTTACTCATTACCACTAATGATCTACTGCTATCACACTTGTCACCCAGGGTGACATCAAGCGGGCCAGCATCTGTCCTCTATAAAAGGTTGATTATCCAGGACTCTATGAATCAACAGGAAACTCTCACTAATGCTAATTATTTTAAAATAAAACCACACAAAGTAAGCCTTGTCTAAGACAATTGTCTATCTAATGCCTATGGGTATTCTTGCAGATACTCCATCATTTCTAAGAACTTTGAACCAGGTTACTTATTTTCTAGTCACTTCTCTGATCAGACTATCTATGTGAGTTTGGGCAAAGCTCCCCCACTGCATCTCAGTTTATTGGAACAGGTGACGCTCAGAGGTATAATGGTATGACCTCAGATGAGTTATTTTACCTCTCTGAACCTCACCTATAAAATGGAGACAATGGTAAGACTTCCCTCATCTGGTTGCAAGAAAGGTTAAGTGAATGTAAAATGTTATCATCCCAGTGCCTGGCACATTTTAAGTGTTGAGTAAAGAGAAGTCACTATCAAGATGATTATTATTTTCATGATTCTTTGTGTAAGAGAAATAGAAACATTTATCTACATAAAGATTTATACATGCATGTTCATAGTAGCGTTATCTACAAGAGCCAAAAACTGTCAATGGTCTGGAGATCCTTCAATGGGTAAATTATTAAACAAACAGTGGTACATCCATACCATGGAATACTACTTTGCAAGAAAAAGGAACAAACTACTGATAACACACAACTTGGATGAACCCTAAGAGCACTATGCTGAGTGAAAAAAGCCAATCCCCAAAGGTCATATACTATATTATTTTGTGTACATGAAATGTCTAGAAAGACAAATCCCATAATACCAGATCAGTGACTGCCTGGGGCTAGGGTGGAATGGGGAATAGCTGTAAGCAGGTATAAGGGATCTTAGGAGGTGATGAAAGTATTCTAAAGCTGGATCGTGGCAATGGTAGCGCTGGTATATACATTTACCTGAACTCATCAAACTATACACTTAAAAATGGGTGAATTTTATAGATTTAAATTATACCTTTAAAAGACTGGGATTTTTTTTGTTTTTTTGTTTTTTTAAAGAGACTCTCTATCTAAACTGAATCTATGTGACGGTATTCTGTTGGACTGCCAGAAACCCTGATCACTCCAAACCATTTTCAATTTTTCACTTACCGAGGGATGGGCTGCTATGTATCCGTGTGCACTTTTATCTGGAAAGTAAAGATAAAGATGTCACCTTTATTTCATGAAGCCTGCCTCACTTAGACGTTAATAAAAAATTAACCTGCATGCCTTTGACCAGAAGGAAATTCTCCAGTTCAGTACTGAATAGATACTATGACACATGACATCATTGTTCTGAAAATAGCTCACACCCTTGCCCCCTCACATGTCATTTTATAGATCTTAATGAAGGCCTCCAGCAAATCTCATCTATATGGAGGAATATCAAGATCAGCTACTCCTTTTTTTTTTTTTTAAGATTTTATTTATTTGAGAGAGAGTGCACGCGAGTGCGAACGTGTGTGCAAGCAGGGGGAGGGGCAGAGGGAGAGGGAGAGAGAACCCTCAAGCAGACTCCCCGCTGAGCACAGAACCCAGTGCAGGGCTCGATCCCAGGACCTTGAGATTGTGACCTGAGCCAAAATCAAGAGTTGGATGCTTAACCAACTGAGTCACCCAGGTGCCCCAAGATTACCTGCTCTTAGTTGGTATGAGTCTATACACCTATATCCAGAATTTCTCCCCTACTTCCTCCCTCCCTCCCTCCACCTCCACCCTCCCTTTCACCCTGCCTTCCTTCCTTTCTCTTTCTCCTTCCCCCCACCTCCTCCCACCCTATTCCTCGGTCTCCAACACTAGAGCATCCATGGAGTGTCTGGTGAGTTTTACTCAGCTCAGAGAAATACTGGAATGAAACACTTTTGGTTTTGGTCGCCTGTGGTTCTCCAGTGAACCTGGAGGACAGTTCTAGACTTCCTCACATTAATTAAGCACTGTTTGAAGTGTCACTAGGATCTCTGAGACATTTCACTCTATGTGGAAGACTAAATATCATAAAACCTCTCCTTGCTGGCTTTTTTTCTTTTTGGTTTTCTGCCCTGAAGAATAGCAGTTAAGCTATCTTCTCAGTTAAAAACGTCCCGTGGAGCTGTGAATTACTATACGCCTTAAGTTTGGGCTTTGACATGTCTTATGACCAAATGAGACACTCCTCCCCTTCCAAGTGTCCCCTTGCACCATCCTTGAAGATATTTCAAGCCTGTCCTATGTTAAAACCAATGCCGAGAGGTAGGGGCTCTTTACAGCTGGGCCACTAATGATAGGATGTTCTTCTCTTTTTAGATGTTAAATAATAAGTTGTTCTAGAGAGGCACCGCAGATCATCTTTCTTGAGAAAGATTTTGAAATGCAAAAATATTGTCTGGCACATATTTTTCAGTTGCTTATAGTGCAAATGTGAACCTCAAAGCTTCAAACAAAGGCTGGATCTACGTGCTAGCAACTGAAGTCAAGATTTGGCAGGAACACGGCCATTTCGATTTCTTATAAATAGCCAGACATGATTTCTTTTTTTAAGCCTGATTTTGAGGTTGGATCAAAATAGTCTGGCAACCACAAAATGCATGCTGTATCATCAGGGTCCAATTCAATGAATTGGAGGGATAAAAAAACTTCAGGAGACCATGGCTGGATCCATACACCTCTTATCTCATGGACACATCACAAGGCCTGATCCTACGTGACTAAGTGTCGTCTTCATGCCAGTGCAGAGACCAAACATTTGTGATTGCTGATTCAAACTGACAACTGCTGCTTCACTGAGCAATTAATTACCCCTACTTGAGTTCTAAAAACAACCAAGTGGTAAACCTCCTCATATCAACTTCACCTTCCAACCCATCTTTCGATTTACTGCCTTTGAAGTCATTTGGAGAAGGCACTAGAACTGGCTTCAGATGCCCTACAGGCATTCTGTTCTAATCCTGAAGCTCTGAGATGGGAATTCCTTGTTCTCTCTTTGATACCTTGGATTTCCTCTTACCTCCTGACGTAAAGCTCATGTATTTCTGGTTGTTGACCGTTTCTTTGGAATCGTAGAATTTGAGAACATCCAGGACGGCTTGTGGGTTCTTCTTCTGTTCCAGTTTTGTTATGTTGGAGGTTTGGAGTAAGCGTGCCCACTGCTCAGGGATTCCCTGTGGACAACCAGAGGGAGAGAATGGCAGCTCAGAACATTCAGCAGCTGCATTTTTATGTTCCAGTAAAGTTCTTCACCAAGAAGCCCATGCTACCTGTAGGATTACACTTGGGAAACTGAAGTGACACTCTAGATTTAAAGTTAGTAACTTAATAATGCAATCATTCTCTTCTCTAATTAAAACACATAGGTAAAACTAGGATCCAACTTAAAAAGGGTGGGTGGGAGTATGACTGTGATAGAAAAAAAAAGCGCATGAAAATCACCTCCATATTAATTCTGCTCATCCATGAAATGATGTTTACGGCTTAGCTTGTATTTTCTGGCGACTCAGGGCAGACATAGCAAGACTTCTCTAAATTTGTGCACAGTATAGTATAGTGCAGATCAATGGATTTTATATGACTGGAATCACATAAGCTGTTTCTGGGCATGTCGTAATCGGAAGATCTTTCTGAACAGAAGAAAAGCCTCACCTTTGGGCAGTTTACGCTTTGTGATTACAAAATGTAATTTGGGGGGGGTGCTCTAGGGCTTTAATACAGAGGGGGATTGAGAGGAGGCAAAAATAGAATAGTGGAGGAGCAACACCACGGAGGTGCTAAATAGTTTCTCCTCTCCTCCCTCCATGCCCTCCTCCCCACTTTGTTCGTTGGCCACATGGAACCTGGGGACTGTGACGCATGTGCCAAAGCCTCGTGAGAATTGGCAATACTCTAAAGCATTTAGAGCAGACAGGAGGGAGCGTTTGGAAATCTAACCTGGGACAATTGCACCAATTACGCTGAAAGGTTAGTTTCGCGTTGAGCGTTTAGCATTCTTTCCTACATGTCCAGCCTACAGATGTCCCCATTTCGTAATTGTCCAGCCTCCAAAGGCAGCTTGGAGCAAGAGACAGACACATCGTTCCTGCAGTGCATCTAGACACAATTTATGTGGCCTTGCCCTCTGAAGTCTCGGCAAAACAATGTGTGACGTGGGCCTCCAGAGTTTGGGAATGACAACAAAAAAGTGAGATAAGCCAAGCAACAACTCTACTGCACACACATGAACCTGCTGCAGTGCTATGACATCTCAAAGAAGCACTTTGATGCAAGCTTCTTTTGGGCCTGTGACGCACCTCTGGGAGCTTCCCTGGGCACATCTGTGAGCCATAGAGATCTGGCTGTAATGGACGTAAATAAAGAAAGAAAAGAAAGTTAAAACAGAATGTGGGACAACTTAGAAGGTGGGAGGAGATGAAACCAATGGGTCTGAATGGGGGGGTCATCCCTTCTCAAGTGGGGAGGTTATGAAAATCGAGAGGTCTTAACTCCATCAGGGGCAGGACAGGCTAGGACAACAGATTTCAGGAAACAGAGGAAAAAAAGACAACGTTCTCAAGTTGGGACGCGTAATTCCACTTGGGGCCAGATGCTTCCTCCATAAGTACACAATAGTAAGAATTACTGTTAAAGGACCGGAGAAATTACCAGAAGGCAGAAACATGACTTTGGAGGGAAGAAGGATGGCATCATGAAAAGCTCTAATGATAATTTGTAAGTCTGTATTTACAACCAGGTGATCACAGGTAGCCGATGGCCATGTGATGAACTTACAAATTTCAGTTCTCAATTCTGGTTAACCATTTCTGGTTTCAGCGTGGAAGTGTCTGTGTGGCTAAAATGGACAGGATGGCGACATGGGGATGCTAAATTTAACTGCATTCTCATTGATGCGACTCTTCTGCACGTTGCAGTGAGAAAGTCGTGACTGGTTTAGGGAAAACTAGATTAAGGATTTCCCACACAGCCAGACTCTACCTTTGAGTTTCTTTAGACCAGGGAAAGGGAAACCGTTTCATTTCAAACCATATATGAACAATTTCCATTTTAATACTGCAGTTCGGAAGTCCTGGCTTCCCACAGAATAAGATCGGATATAAGGTAATGGCTTTATCTAAATAAAGAGATTGTCTCCAAAGCTACAGAAACATGCTTCAACCCAACTGGTTTGATTTGGGATACAGGTCTTTGATTCCTGGCATTTGGGGTTACTCCAAGCACAGTGAAACGACACTTTGACATGCATTAATCACGCAATTCGATGCTAAAGCCTTAAGCCACATATTTGAACTCAGGAGCCCATGCATGATCCCAGTTCTGATTCTAAGTGCAATTAATAGCATTTGGTTAATACTGTCATGGCCAAAGGAGTTATTAAGTGTTATAAAACCAGGTATGCATTGCACATAACCACTAGGGCAGACATCACTGGCATGATCATTACCGTAATTATTAGAATATTTGCAATTATTATACATTCTGATGGCACCTCTAAACTTTTGTGATAAATAAATGTCTCGTGATCACTAGACAGCAGGAAAACATGCTGTCAATTGCAGAAGATCCTTCAGACAACTATACTTACCATATGACTACCCTGCTGACATAATTTCTTGTTTCTTTGAGAAGTTGAGATAAACTAGTCGATCAATGAGACCTGACACTTAAATTTGAACGTACGCCACAAAGGCACATCATCAGATGGCCATCTCATTACTCCAGATTGAGGTACAAATCCCAAAAGTTAAGACAGCTAATGGAGACCTAGAAGTATGAGCATCAGAAGCAGGAGCACATATCAATGCCTGACCACGGGTACAATAACAACCAGATGTACAACAAGCTGGGGATTGTCCGGTGTAGCCCAGGAGAATGGCAGCATGATACAACAGGCCAAGCATTTATCTTATCATAAGAAATGATCATGTATATCACTCATACCATTCTTCCCTCTGATTGACTTGAAGCGACCGTCACAGGTCTAGAAGTCTGGAAGGGGGAGTTCTGAAGTATTTGGGACAAAAATGGCAATATAAAGGGTAAGGACTTTTCATAGTTTAGTACCCCAAATCTCACCTCCCAACCTAATTTGAATCTCAAGGTCCAAACGTATAACCAGGTGTACAAGGTTATATGGGCCAACTAGCCATAGGACAATCACCAAAGGGCACACCAAATTGGAGTCCAAATATTCACAGTGACAGGCCCTTGGAAGACAACTGAACAAGACAGTTCAACAAATTGCTCAAAATTCAATCTAAACAACAGCAATAATCACATTTGGTAATATGTCCCTCCCCCTCTGCGCACGCACACACACAATACATTAGTGGCACCGTGGCAAATAGGACCCAATTTAAATGCTACCAACAAAATGATTTTAAAAGCTTATTTTCATTTGGCATTTTTAAAAGTTAGTAAATGCAAACCAAAGGTGAAAAGAGTTAAAAAGTGCACAATTTGGCATCTTTAAATATAATGTGTGGACAAGTAGTTTCAAAAGACCACCAAGAGGACAATAAATGCACCAGATTTCCAAATTTAGCCTGTGTCTGTCTGTATATTCAAACAACTGCCTGCATCCAAACAGCTGCTTTATTTTAAATTGGGTGTGGTAGAGGCGGGGGTGGGGGTGGGGCAGGTTTTGGTTTGGTTGGGTTCAGTTGCATCAAACTGTTGGTCACAATTGGAAAGAGTGCCCATCACATATCCCACCCCCAGCCCTCTCTGGTGGGTTCTTTGGGTTCTAACCGATGGCCAAGTGAAAATGCAGTCAGCAAGATGATGGTGATTCTCTTTTTTTCATTTCCATTCAGAACGCCAAAAGAACAAAGAAAGAGCTCAAGATATATTGTATTATAAGATGTCAAGCAAGTTGGAAAGAGCGGAAAATATTTTTTAAAAATTGGAAAGGAACCAGAATGTCACATGAGAATAGTGGAGGAGAGAGCTTTCACATCAGACCAAAAGGAAGGAAAAAGAAAACGTGGCATGACAGCAGTAAAACATAAGAGAAGTTAAAGCAGAAGAAAAGCACATAGAAAACAAAAAAGGTCACAACTGCAAGCATAACATTCTTAAAATAAAAACAGGGAAGAGTTATTAGACCACATTTATAAAGTTGAAGTGCTTTGACTGTTTCAAATGTCAAAAAAGTCCTAACATCTTTGTTCAGATTATAAAAATCATTATTATTATTATTATTTTTGGTGGTGACAGCAGTCAAGGCCATTTGAATAATGTTTCTGACTTCATGGATGAAATTGGTTAAATCCTACCACTGTCTCAACTTTATTAACATCAGTATTTCTTTACGTTCTCTTCTGCTTACTACTGAGAGTATAGAAATAATCAGCTCATGTCACTTTACAAGGCCAAGATGTTTACTCCGTTGTGATTTTATTCTCATATTATATACTTCTGGAATTGGGGGGGAAAAAAAAGGCAATTTGGCTGTCAATTCAGAGACATGGTTTGCTTCTCCAAATCCAGTCAATTTGTCCCCCGCCCCTTTTTGGTTCACTCAGTCATATGAGTTTACTTACTAACCGTCAAGTTACAAAACAGAAAATTTAATTATTCAACATCTAAAATTATCTCTGGTTTTAGAACCCAAGAATCAGTGGTGATGATATTATAAAAGATTTTTCTTCTGAATGCATTCAAAATTACTCATCATCTCAGAATGTACATTTTTATTGAGATCCTTACTAGTATGGAAAAAGATAGTTGATCCTCCTGGGGACATATTTTTAGCCACATCTTTTCCTTCATCCATCTAAAAACAAAGATGCCAGATCTTTAAAAAAAAAAAACAACAAAGTACAAAATGACTGAGATCTTGAGCTATTTGAGCACTACAAATATCCAAAGAAAGGCTGACTCTATAGCTATGGTCTTTCTGGAGAATTCGTATTGGTATTTATTGTGGATTGTATATGTGTAAAGCACATAACCACTAAAGCACACATGATATATTCATAGTCTTCCTGAAACATGGGGTTTGTTGTTTTGAAGGCCTATGAAATATGCCTGTTAACAGGCCTAAAAATAAGCCATGTTCTTGAAATCAAAGGGAAGACCAAGTCAATTGTACAGAGATTTTTGGTTAGTGTGGTTAGCTGATCTGGGTAATCCAGGTTCCAATGTCAAGCCTGAATTATTCAGATGGACTGTATTCACTGGCCAAGTTGAGTCAGTTGATTCTCTGATTCACTTCAAACAATAAAGAACAGGCTCAACAGAGTCTCTCTACCGGGACTACCTCTCCTGTGCCATGGAAAATTCGCATTTTCAATGACACTGAAGACTAACTGCGATCAGACATTTTTATGATGGACAAAATAATTTTGCCAATACTCTTGCCACTCTCTAGTTCCAACGGATTGACTCAGCATAGTCCATCTTCCTTGAAATCATCCAAAGCATCAAGCCTGACATTCTGGGACATGGGCATGTTTTCTTGAAACCTATTTTCACAAAGGAATTTTTTCATGGCTTGCAAAGCACAATAAGGAGCTTACTTACAGTGAACTCCCCGGTGACTGCGTCAAACCCCACATGAATCGTATGTTCAAAGTCTGAAGGAAGAGAGATCTCTGGGCGTTCTTTCTCCTTCTTCTTATTGGCTAAAGGCAAAATGTTAACATGTATTTATTGGGGATATAGTTTTGTCATCCCTAAGTTGTACAATTAGGTTCATCAAAAACAATTACAAAGTTGAAAGACAAGTGATTCCAACACAAGCTTAACAGGATTTAGCTCCAGAAATTATAATTTCATCTGCAGAAGTAGCTGAGAGTTTGACAAAAAATGTTACATCCAGATAATATACAAATTTCCCAAATCAAGTTCAAACAAAACTTGCGGTCACACTGATTTATGTCCTTTACCAGTCTAATAATGTAACCCACAGGTATGTAGGTGTATTGTGGTTAACTGGCTTTGTTGGATCGAATAGGACTTACTAAAGAAGCAATTCATGATGATCAAGTCAAGCTAAGGTTTACTACTACAAAGAAAGAACAGAAAAGTGCTGAAGCTATCTATAAAAGCGTTAATTGTTTCAATGATAACCATAGTGAAATATCGAGAAGCTAGAACTTGTTTAATTTACATGTTTACATTTATGAAGCATATCTTAATAGACTCTTGGTCTTCTTTCAGTGAAAATACTACGGCAGACCATTAATGTTACACATCTTTATCACTAAAAGTGTTTTTAATCATTTCCTACCCAGCACTTTGCTAGTAAAAAAAAATACAAATGGCTGATTTTTACTGAATTAATTTTATTTAGTTCTTAGTAACCTCAAATCAATGCTTTGGCTTAGTCATTCCAGTGTGTAGCTATTTTTCCATGCCCCTAATATATTTTTTTGTCATATTAGCCATTCAAAATCATTGTCCTCAAGTAGATTTTTCATAGTGACACAATTATGAATAAACACATCCACAGTTAATATGTCAAAAACCTTTAAAGATATTATCATTGGAGAAATTAAGTTGGGAACTGTAATGAAATTAGTCTATCTTGGAATAGATTCCAGGAGGAAGTTACTGTGGAAATGTAAAATGGCATCAAGTAGGTTCCATAATAGACACATAAGCAAATCGGAGCATGTATCTCTGATCGGGGTGCATTTCACACTCAAAAGACAATAATAATAATACTCACCCTCCTAATAATGGGAAAGTCAGCATGGTTTGCCCAATTGAAACCAGTCAATCTCAGAATTGCCAGGGTGGCCAACTTAGAACACTCTGGTTCAAATAGATGTTTCCTTGGCCTGAATTTCAGACAACATTCAATTAACCATATACGGTTTTGTGAGTTACCCAGGATAAATTTTCAATTCAAGACCTTTCACATTCAAATGTCATTCTCATGGCTTCTTGTCTCTTTCTACCCTCTCTCACTGCTCCCTATCTCCAGCTAGGGGACAGAGAGATGGGGCAGAAATATGTACATTCAAGGAGTAAGAAGATTAGGATACAGGATTAGGAAAGAAAGATTGGAGGTGGGGGTGGGGGTGGGGGGGTAGGTGGGGGACAAGGGTCACTCAAAGCCTCTCTGCCTGGCCACGGAACACATTAGGACTCAATTTGAAAAGTACATATGTGCCATTCAACTTGACTTCAGCATAGATGCCGTGTTTACAGCAAGCCTACTTTGTTGAATATGATCCTAACAATGAAGTGTAGAGGTTTTTTGTGGGTACCTACTTCTGCTGTGTGTTTTGGCCCCATAGCTACCACTCACACCTGCTTGGCCGCCAGGCAGCTATCCTAGCCACTCCTGTAATCGTGTCCTTGTTTTTCCTCTTTCCAGCTCTCCCAACCATGTTGGACGTGGCTGACTCCCTCTCTTTTTACTTCCTTCACAGTGTGGTCCCATTCTCCTCCTCCCTCTGTGACCATTCTTTATTTGACTGGCATCGCTTCTCCTTCTGCCTTTTCTAATGCAGTCTTTGGCCTTTAACAATCCTTTCTTCACCCCTGTTCCTCCTGGATGGTAGCCAGTCCCAGATACTAACCCATGTGGTGTAACTCCCTGATCTGCGGTTGGCTGGGGATGATCCGGGTACTGTGAGACCAAACGCTTTATACAATTTGAGAGGAATGTTCCCTTTAAGGAAAAACACTCCAAGACTACCAGGGCCCCTCCTAGGGCTTTGGAAGAGCCCCAGGCTAGTGAGGAACTCTAGAGAAGTGTTATTCACTTCATAGTGAATCTACTTCTAGTGACAGGTGACTCTCTTGGGGTCAAAGACCACTCTGAAAATCTGAAGGCGGCTATGGAACTTCTGCCCATAAACTGCACTGAACATATCTACACAATTTCCCATATAATTTCAGAGGTTCAGAACTCCCCTGGACTCCAGGTTGAGAACCCGTAGCTCAGTCTACATCTCCAATCACTGTATCAACTTGCATTCATGACCTCTCTTGCCAGCAAACAGTCTCTTCTTACTTTCCATTAGCAATGGTTGAATGTTTAAAGCTTATTGACTTAGCCTAACCACTCCACTTGGGCTGAGCTATAGGAATTGACTTCATGGAGTCTCTCCAGAAGGCTACCTGATTGCCAGTCCCTTACCAGCCTGATCATGCCCTTCCCTTCACTCAGGGCTAAGCGTAACAAAGGCAGGAAGCCCAAACTTGCTCTTCCTTTCTCTCAGTGAGATCGTACCACTAACCACGCAGATCGAAGAAGGATTCAGGCTTTAGACACCTCTTCTTTTGGGAGGCCCTGAGCAATGAAAAGATTACAACCCCCTCCCTCTCCAATATATAATTCAAATAAAAAAAATACTAAAGCATAAAAAGGTAAGAAAGTCCATAAAGTTCTGCTATTCCTATGGTGATGAAGTCTTTCTGAAAACTACATATACAAACTAAAAATGTGGCCAGGTTTTGGGGGCCCCTGATTTGCAGGGCCTGTAGCACACGTTAACTCTCTTTATTGGGTAATTCAGCACTGGCCCAACTGCCCATGCCATAAATTTGGGAGCTTCTCTGACTCCCACTGTATTTCTACCTTAATTGGTCACCAAGTTCTATTCCATCTCCCACACTCCCACACTCATCTTGAATCTCCCTTCTTCCTTTCATCCCCACAAACCATTACCTTAGTCTAAGGTACCACTATTGCTCACCTGATCATATTGCCTCCAATCTTGCCTCCTGCTCTTCATTACTTTGTGGCCAGAGTAATCTTGGAAACACACAAATCTGACCACATTCCTGCCATTAAGATCCTTAAATGGCCCCCCACTCCCCATATGGTAGAAGTTCATGCTCATTAGCATGCTTTCCAGGGACCTGCATGATCTGCCCCCAGCTTACCTCTCCGTTGTCTATTCGTGCCATAGCCCCCATCGTCCCATACCCACGTCATGCTCCCTAAACTGCTCGATTTTCTCTTACTTCCAAGACTTTCATGCTAGGCCAAGGCCTGGCAAGTCTTCTCTCTTACCAAGATCCCTCACCCTGCACTTTGGGTGGGTGACTCCCATTAGTCCTTTTTCTTGAAGATTCACACTTGGGCTTCCTCTTTTTGGCAAGCCTTGCTCTGTCTTCCCTCTGCAGACAAAGTTAAATGCCCTTCTCTTCATGCTTCCATAGAACTGTCCGGTGCATACTCGGAGCTTGGCATGTATCAACACTGGATTGTTATTTCTTCTTTACCTACCTGTATCTCTAGCTAAAATTGGAGATACTTGACAGCAGAGACTGTATCTTATTCATTCTTACAACCCTTAGCACCTGGCTTATGTCCACACACTTCATGATTTTAATTTATGGAACATTTACCATGTGCAAAAAGTGCTTCTAGGGTCATCTCATTTAATCTCCATCACAATCTCATTAGGTAGACCTTATTAGTATTGTATTATTGTTCTATAGATAAGGAAAGCGAGAGTGAGGTTCAACCACCACCCAGGTATGTAGCAGGTGTCAGAGCCAGAATTTGAACCTAGGTCCCAATTGTGTCTACAGGGCCCAAGTTCTTAACAGCTACACCATTTATTATTCAGTAACATTAAAAAAAAAAAAAAAAAAAAAAAACCCGAACATCTTTGAGCCCTAGTCTTCAGTAAGTGGTTAGTGACTAAATGGAGCTTAGGTGAGAATTTTTTGTCCTTTCTTTTCTGGAACACTAAAATGTCTGTATCTCCCCCAGAAAATTGTTGAGCATTGGTCATTTATATTAATATCAGAAAAACAACTTTCAGTTCTACTCTCCAATGAGGGTACCACTTCCTCAGATAATCCTGATGGACGCTGCTCATTCTTCCCCATCCCGAGTTCTTAGGGGTGGAGAAATGGGGAAGGGTAGGGTTTCCCCCTTTTAATTCCAAGCTGTTGATCTGAGATCAGTACTTCTGCACTTGCCTCCAAAAAGCCCCTCCTTTGAGGTTACTGCCATTCAGTGCTCTTGGCCAAGTCCCCTTATCCATTGAGGATTCGGGCTCCTGGTCTTCCTTCCTACCCTCAGTGCTGCCATCGCTCTGTGAAACGTGATATATAAATGGACATCTCTTTCACACTCCTTCCTTTTAACTCCTTGACCTTCCTCAACGCTAATGAGTTTCAGCTCCTTTCTAGTTCAGTCTGCTCCCCTGGCCACCACTAACCCAGTGGTTGTCAACCAGGGCCGTTCATCAGAATAATCTGTAGAGTTCTATAAAAGACCAATGTCTAGGACCCATGCAGAACCTACTGTAGCAGGATTTCTGGGGGCGGGGAGACCTGGACAAATGATTTTCTAAGCTCCACAGATGATGTGCAGAGTGGAGGACCACAGGTACTCCAGGCCTTTTCATTATCCGAATTACCCTTTCTTTGAAAGATTAAACCCTGTTATCCCAGCCTCCCATCCTGCTATCTTTCCAGCCCTTAATCCTATTTTACTTATTCTTTGGTCTCAACAAAAACTCTAGTCCCTGGATCCCTCTATTTTTAAGCCAAGTTCCCAGCTTCCTCCTGGCCTAGACTCTTTGGTCCATCATTTAAATTGCTCTTAAGCCACTGCTTTGGAAGCAATGCCACTCTCTGACCTACTTTTGCAACTCTCCTGCAAAAATCTACTCTGAGAGAATCCAACCATGAAACCTCCACTTCT